ATGTACAAGGGATGAGAAGATTAATTGTTTTGCCTTTGTGTGTAAGGAGGCATAATTGTTGGAGGGCATGCTCGTCATCAGAAGGGGCACTGATCCACCTACTATGGTTTGACAGTGTTTTTGAAACAACTCAAAATTTAGTTGCTTTTTTCAATAGCTTGAGTGTTCCGGTTGCTGGTTTTTGAAATAGGCATGAGATGCTTACCAGTTGCAGTTTTCCCTCCACTGTTTTTCTTCTGTTGAAAACAGAATTATGAAATGCCATTGCATGGAATATAGATTATGCAGATTTACACCCTTCTCTCTATTTCAAATAGACAAGATTAGAGAACAGAGCTGTTTATGAATATCTCCCTGGTGTAGATTTCCCAGCAGGCTGAAAAACACCTTGACCTAAACGCAGGCCAACTCCTTTTCCTTCGTATTAGCTTGCTATTCCTCCGACACCTCTCACCCTGGCCCGCTTTGCTGGCCGTAATACAGAATCAATTACTGTATGCAATCCCATGGACAGATGGAAAATCCATTATGAAGATAGCCAACTTTATATTCCCACACTCCAGAAAACCAAACCCGGTGAACAAACAGTACAAAATCACTACAGTCAGCATCTTAAAATCATTGAAAGATCTAACCTCCTCCAAGGAAAGCAAAGGCAGTTACCTAGAGCCATCACCCTTCCAAAAAGCATCAGAGGCGGATGGATCAGGTTTATACTTTGACTTCATGGTCTAATCCCAACAAAAACTGCCTTGCCTCAGTCCTCTCTGTTTCTTTATCTGGAAAATGATTACAAATCTTGTCAATATGGGGAGAAATGCTTAATTATATTAAAGTGAGTTGAAAACTTAATTATACTAAAGTTGAGAGGTTTAATTAAGTTTACAAGTTTCTTTTCAAGGCTATGGGCTACTCACACATATTTTTAACCTAATTTTTTTTGTCTTAAAAACTAAGGAACTTGGGACAGGTAGGTGGCACAGTGGATAGAGCACCAGCCCTGGAGTCAGGAGGACCTGAGTTCAAATCTAGCCTCAGACACTTACTAGCTGTGTGACCCTGGGCAAGTCACTTAATCCTGATTGCCTCCAAAAACAAACAACCACAAAAAACAACTAAAGAACTCTCATAACTTAGTGTGATCAGGCCTTGGAGGAAACCTGTATGATCTGTATACCTAATAGCTCATCTATATAAAATTTTTATGAGAAACATGAACCAAGGGCATCCTGAATGGAAGTATTAGTAGACAAGCTTTTTCCAAGCAATATTCTACAGTAGATCTCATCTTTATCCTCACACAAATGATGGAAAGATATAGAGAATACTAGATACTAATTTGCTTTGTTTGTTGATGAGCAGAAAAAGAATTTGATTTGGTAGAACAAAATGTCACCCTGAAACCCTCTTCTTCTAAGTGTCTCCCATTCATACAGTAAAATTATTCAAGATTTTTTGAAAGACATAACAGAAATAACCTTGTTCAATGATTCACTCATCATTAATCCCAGCTGAGAAATAGAATGGGGAAATGTATGCTCACCAAAGCTGTTGCCTCTTTCATGGAAAAGGTGTAATGTGGAGTCCAAGTTGGGGAAAGATTCTCAATGGAGGGTGAAACCCTTCAGATACTCCTGTCTGTGGATGACATTGTACTGGTTGCATTGAGTCCCGGAATATTGCAGTCTCAAGAGTTTAGCCTTAAAATCTACACAGAAAAAAACACAAGTGGATAAAGAATGCCTATTGCCCAGATTATGACAGGCTGTTAGATGGACCATTTATAGAGCACATTCATCAGTGTGTGTACATCTGTGTATTTAAGTACTGAAAATGGAAGAGTTGTATCCAGAATTAAATTGGAGGCCAGCAGACTGAATTGCCTTTGGGAAATTACCAAGTTACTTTAATAATCCCCACATCTTCCAAGAAACAAAGGCCCATTGTTTTAATACTAATAGGCTACTAGTGTTGTATAGCTGTGAGGTATAGAGACCTGCAGAATAAGAAGAATTAAAAATTAATATCACTCAGAGGGACATGGTGGTCATGAGAAGGCTATAGGATAGAACAAATTAGGAACTATTAAGAATAGCAAGCTAATATGAAGGAAAAGGAGCTCTCCTGGGACTAGGTCATCAACAAAGATGAGGAAGCAGCTAAGCGGTACAGTAGATAGAGAACTGGACTTAAAGTTCAAATCTAGCCTCAGATACTTGATAGCTATGTGACTCTGGGCAAGTCACTTACTCTCTGCCTGCCTCAGTTTCCTCATTTGTAAAATGGGGATAAGAGTTCCTACCTACTAGGACTGTTCTGAGGCTCAAATGAAATAATATATGTAAACTACTTTAAAAACCTTTAAGTGCTATGTAAATGATAGCTCTTGTTATTGCTATTGTTATTATTATATACTATATCTACAATGTAGCAAATTCACAGAAATCTGTATGCTCATCTATTTGTATATACACACGTGGCGCTCCTAGCTACAAATATACACTCATACACAAATACTTTTTGGCAGGGTGATGGATGTAGTTAACCACCTTTGCTAGAATTTCCAATGATTATGCTGACTGTAGTAATTATGTACTGTTTATTCACTGGGCTTGGTTATATACTGTATCTACATATGTAGCAAATCCATAGAAATTTATAAGCTCATCTATTTGTATGTGTGTGTATATATATGTATGTGTGTATATATATATATATGTGGGTGTGTGTATATACACACGTCTATATATGTGTATATGTATGTGTATACATAGTATATATGTATGGATAGATAGATGTTACCTTTTGCACATTTAGGACTTTAAAAGGACATCAGATATAAAATTTTGTGTTTTGGTCATGTCCAACTCTTCATGATCCCATTTGAGATTTTCTTGGCAAAGATACTGGAGTGTTTTGCCATTTCCTTCTCCAGCTCATTTTACAGATGAAGAAACTGAGGCAAACAGGGTTAAGTGACTTGCCACACAGTTAGGAAGTGTCTGAGGCCAGATATGAACTCACAAAGATGAGTCTTCCTGACTCCAGGAGAGGCACTAGCTACCCTTACAAAACTTTACCCTGCCAAGATTTCAGCCGGCTTGTTTTTTTTAGGACTGAGTGTATGTATGTAGCTTAGACTCACATTTCTACCATGGCAATGAGAGAGCAAAGGCCATCATCCCCCAGCAGTTGTATTTCCATCTTCTCCTAAGACTTATGGCAAAGAAGGCTGCTTCCCACAGCTGTAGTGCAGGATTTTCTATCCCAAACTCCAGAGTCTTTAATCCAGAAATAATTCACATGAAAAATATCCTTCCGGATGAAATCTCTCTTTAATCCCAGAGGGGCTGTTTTCCTAAGAGTTCCTTTCCCACATGAATGCCAGTTTATCTGGCATTTTAAATATCAGTTGAACTTCTCTGCCTTTTTATTTTCAGCTTTCACTTCTGTGACTTATTTTTTTTTCTAGTGTCATCTAATTTACCCTCATAAGGAACATATTTCACTTTTAAAACATTTTCTTTCCCTGTATATGCTGGTATTCATGATTATTTTTACTGTCTTGAAAATTTATATCCCCAAACACTATTAATTAGTCTAAGTAAATAAATGTTGACAAGAATAATCTTGGACAAAGTCATTCAACTTTTTTATATCTCAGTTTCCCCATCTGCAAATTGGAGAACAAATCTCCCAACTTTGTTGCGTGTGAATTTTTAATGTGAAAAATGACATTTTAAATGCAAGGCATTATTATTTATTGTGCACTGAGTTCCTGGCAGCTAGGTGGCCCAGTGAATAGAGTGCTGGGCCTGGAGTTAGAAAGACTCATCTTCCTGAGTTCAAAGCTAGCTGTGCGACACTGGACAAGTCACTTAACCCTGTTTGCCTCAGTTTCCTCATCTGTAAAATGAGCTAGAGAAGGAAATGGCAAACCATTCCTTTATCTTTGTCAAGAAAACCCCAAATGGGGTCAAGAAGAATTGGACATGACTGAAACAACTCAATAGCAACAACAATTGAGCTTCTAGTTCAATTACTTGAACCTAATGCTTTAGAGAGTTTTCTTTGTTGGGCAGAAAAATGTGTTTTCCCCAGCTTATAATCATTTTCCCCTGCCATCTCCTCTTATTTAAATCTTATCCATTTTTTTCAGGGCCTAACAAGTCTTTCTCTTCTTCTTTGGAACCCTCCCTTCAACCCAGCTTCAAGAATGGTCCTCTCCTCTGAACTCCTGTGATACTTGATATCCATACACTCATTTGGTACTTAGCATGCGCTATTTTATGATATTATTGGTGTGTGTGTGTGTGTGTGTGTGTGAGAGAGAGAGAGAGAGAGTGAGAGAGACAGAGATAGAGTGAGAGAGTGAGAGAGAGACAGAGAGAAACAGAGTGAGAAAGAAAGAGAGAAACAGAGAGAGAGAGAGAGAGAGAGAAAGAGAGAAGATTCTTCCCAGTTCCATTGTCAGCCTTTTGAATGCAGATTGTATCTTATTGATTTTGGTATTCCTAACACTTAGCACAATCCACATTGAAAGTACAATATTTGTCACAATCATGGAATCTCAAAGTTGGAAAGGATCTTAGACACCATTTAGTTTAACCATTTACATGAAGCTTGATACCCTAATGATAGCAGGTCAAAAATATTGCCTAGACATTACCAAATTGGCAAAACTAGAAAGGTTTGCATTTCAAAAAAATATAGTTCATTTATCTACTGGAGTATCACATGTGTTGATATATACACACGCACACATTGTACACATATATCCATATATCCTTTGTGTAGACTATAATATACATATGTGTGTATATATATATACTCTATATATATCCTTGTATACACATGCATACACACACACACACACACACACTTCCTTTGTGTATACTATAGTCAAAAATGTAAACTTACTGTCTTAAGAGACTGGAAATCATTGCTGTAGACATTTATTCATGAACTTTAAAATACTTCAACAAAAGAGAGTCAGTAGAATAGCCATCAACAACTTCAGAACTCCATGTTACACATTTCATATTTTTAGCATTATACCAGTTAGATATAGGCACACTGCAATATTTATGCACATAGGAAACCCAAAACAAAATTTCTCTATGTATATCTAGCTCTTCCCCTTACTGTGGCCCTAATTCCATACCATGGAATTATGTTAGTAATCATGTTTTTTTTTAATTTACTAAAAATGGATCAGCAAAAGAACCAGCAGCATACTGTACCTGTTTGGGGGGATGAGAGATTTAGTTTCTAAGCTGACAAAACATGAGGCCTCCCCTGGTTTTCAAACCATTCATTTCCAACATTAAGATTTTCTATTGAGTTCTTAAATCCCTCTCCTGAGCTACAATAGCACAGAAACATGCTGCCAGGAGAGCCCACAGATTTGTTTCAGAATGTCCCCCAGCAATATCGGTAGGCTTTGGAATGACATTAAAGCAAAAAAAAGGTATTTGATCAAAATAATAACTTAAATCACGCCTCCCCATAGTTCTGTGGGCAGATTAGTGAAGTTCAGCCTTCCCTCCCATGTTTCCCACTTCTTTAGAAGAGTAGATTCATGCATTCAGACTCTCCCCTAGGTGCACAAGCTAACAAGCCTCAACACAACAGCAGCTGTGGTAAGATGGCATTTTGAGCTTTTCTACCCACTCTCTAATCCATTCATAATCCAGTCATTTAAAGTTCCAATATTTCTTTTATCCCTAAACAGTATACTCAGAGACTCTTCATTTCTTCCATGCCTAAGGTACAGGCAATTGGTAGTGTTGTAAACTCTACTAGGGATCCTCTTTAGCCTGATAATTTTACCAGCTGCAGCTGTTTACTTATTGTGTTACGTGGATGAATTCCCATACTATCAGCAGTTGAAGTAGAGGCTTTGTAGGTAAATATTTGTTTTAGGGGAAAGATGGAATGTGTATTTATTTCCAAACACAGTTTTGCTGCTTGACCTTAAAATCTAGACAAATGTTCCTCCCATTTCTTTCTCATCCTCTGATTTACATTGAGTTATAACCCACACCTCGTATAGTAAAACTTTAATCTAAATGTCAAAAGAGTCAAATTTCTTCCCCTGGCGATGTAAAGCCAACTTTTGGTTATTACACAGTCTGCTGTTTCAAGTGATTTACTTTAAAGGAAGAAAGTGGAAATGCTGATTCTTTTTTCTTCTTCAAAGATCTTCTTCCCTTATAGTCTCAAACACACAGTCCTCTTCAGTTGACTTAACTGCAATCTTGCTTTTTCTTGTTGGAAAATCAAAATAGTTTATCTGCAAACAAAGACTTGAACACATTATTTATGTCAGAAAAAAGACTCACTAAGAAAGCAATAACTGTGGCAAATCTTCTGGATTTCAAAACAACACAAAAAGGGGCAAAGAAAAATTGCTTTTGCGGAAGCAGGGGTCCCTTCACTCTACTCATGCTCTGAGTGGTGCCATATTGCCAAGAGAGAGAATCTGAAAGAACTCTGAAAAATGAGGCATTGCCAGCCCTTCCTCAGCTACTAGGCTCCCTTCTTTACCTTCTTCTACAACTCTATCTTTTTTGTAGGCACACGTGTACAAACACACAAACACATGCACACATACACCATTTGACCCACAATATGAGGTTAAAAACATCTTCAAAGGTTACTGACCAACATTACATACTATACATTTAAAGGTTCGTCTTAGTTTACAAAAGTCTAATCCCATGGAGCCATGGGGTGCCTCTCCCCCTTTTTTCAGTTATTTGAAATCCCAATGAATTATTGTAGGAATGTTTATCTCAAAATACATGGAGACAGGTGTGCTGTATTAGATCTGTAATCCCTCAAGAAAATGTTGCCATCACTTGCGATTTGGAGCAGGTGTCTCTTGTCCTTTTCTAATCCATGCCCTTCATTTTGATGCTGCCTAAGTATGTGTTTGTGTATTAGGGGAGAAGATGGGGTCATGGAAGGTAGGGAAGAGGGCCAATTCTATACTATGGTACTTGTAGAAATACAGATCAGAGGAAAACAATGTGAGATAAATATTTTAAAAACCCAGACAAAATGGATGCCTCCAAATCAATGCAGAGTCAAATTAAGCATATCAGCAATACCCAAATAATAGGAAATCTCTGTGGGGCAGAGGTAAAAGAGTAATCTAAATGGAAGTAGAGTTTAATCACTTGATGTTTTCCTCTTGCTCATAAAAATCACAAAGCAAAACACATTTTATGGTATAAAGGGGCATATAGTATAAAGGCTCACCATTCATTCCATTTATTCTAGTGAGCACCTACATACTAGGCAATATATCAGTAATTGCTTTTGCTGGAATATTATTTGTTTTCTTATTTGTAGAGTAAAGCCTATGAGAATGTAGTAGGGTAACCTTGGGGAGGGATAGTATGGGCTTGTAGTAATTATGAGAACTGCAACAGAGACCTAACATGCTCAAAAATGTATTTTACAAACCTAAGGAACTGCATTGTGGTGAACTGGATAGAATACCGTGAGCTCAGAGGCTCCAATGGATGAAGTATACTAGCTCTGGGTCCAGAGGACCTGAGTTCAAATGTTACCTCATATGTTTAACTACCTAAGTGACTCTGGGCAAAATCATTTATCCAAGCATCTCCCTGGATCTCAGTTTTTCTATCTATAAAATGGAGGAATTGGACTAGATGACCTGAGGTCCTTTCCAACTTTAAATCTACGATCCAATGATGTGACTGAGGAAGGCCTTGGTTCAATTCCCAACTCTTAACAATTGCTAGCTGGGCAAGTCTCTTAATCTCTCGCTGCTCCAGGCGATTTCCAAAGACTCATCTACTTGTCAAAAACTGTCTGGGATCTGCCTTGATTGAAGAAATTCCCAAGCTGGGTTGTTGTTGTTCAGTCATTTCAATTGTGTAGGACTCTTCCTGACCTCATTTGGGGTTTTCTTTGCAAAGATACTGGAATGATTTGCCATGATTTGCCGACTCATTCTACAGATGAAGAAACTGAGGCAAGAGAGGTTAATTGACTTGCCAGGGTCACACAGCTAGTAAGGGTCTAAGTCCAGCTGTGATCTTAGGAAGATGAGTCTTCCTGATTCCAAGCACAGTGCTCTATCCACTGCACCACTTAGCTGCTCCCATGCTGGGAGTTCCCTACAATGATAGCATTCACAAGAGTAACAACATTATGCTGTACAGTGCATGCCACCATTCAGTCAATCCATTCAACAAACATTTATGAAGTGCGTGTCGTATGCTTAGGAACTGTGTAGGTGCTGAGCAGAGCCCACAGAAGATTTCAGAGACAGAATGAGGGGCTAGGTGGCTGAAACACCAAATGACTAAAGCTTTTTGAATGGAATGACTAATTCTTCATTTTCTGCCTGCAGAGTGGGCAATAATAAAATTCCCAATCTCCACACTGTGTCATATATCTCCCCAGGACTGTCTCTAACCAACAGAAAGCTTGTTTTGTGAAAGAGAATTCATGGTGTATTTTTGGAGGTTGAATGCTATTAGAAAGGACAGATTAATCCAAATCCTAATGGTTATTGGTTACATAATTTCACTCACAGACCTGGCTTTGTTGACGGTAGGATTTCTTACTTTTGCCTTGCTCCAGGGGGTCTTCAATCTGCTAAATAGATTAGTAAAATATTAGTCAGTGTCCCTCAGAGCAAACTAGCACACAAGTAATCCATTTAATTAACAGACACATTTCCCCTTCCACTGTAATCTAAGAGTTGTCACAGCCCCCAAGTAGCAGTGGCACCTGAATATGACATGTACTGTTATCTCTAATTTGGAAAGCCCTAAAAAGAGGTAGAACAAGATCCAAGTCCATGTTAGGTTGATTTCCCAAATTCTGTATCCTGTGAGGAGAAACAAAGAAAGAAAGAAAGAGAGAGAGAAAGAAAGAGAGAAAGAGAGAGAGAGAAAGAGAGAGAGAGAGAGAGAGAGAGAGAGAGAGAGAGAGAGAAAGGGAAAAAAGGGAAAGGAAGGGAGAGAGACTATATGTGAATCAGAATTCCTCTGAATTCTAGAAATTCTAAAGAAATCCACTGAGTTCCAGTCTGTGTTAAATAAAATACAGACAAAGCTGAAGAAATCCATTTATCAAAATGAAGTGACTACCAACAAAGTTAGAGAGACTTAAATTGACCAACCACATAGACCTGTGCACATTATATTTATAAAAAAAAAAACCTTGGAAAGGAGGGAGTAGTGTGGTATGATACACAAAGAAATGATCTTGAGTTAGTATAATCTGGGTTCAAATCCTAACCCTGACATACATTGGCTGTCACCTACCCTCTCCAAGCCCCAGAGAACTCTAAGACCCTAAGGAACAGAGAAGGTGTGGATCTTCATTGATAGAGGGAGGTTCTCACTGGATGTTCTCTTTTCCAGTTTTATCACAGGTAAAGTAAAACCTTCCCCACCCCTATATTTATCTTCTTAAAGATTTTTTATAATTTATAATTCTTAAAGAGAATGCCAGGACAAAAATAAGGATTCTCATATTTTCCTTTGAGAAAAAAAGATATGTTCTGTTTATTGTTTTTTACACACATTAAAAGGCATTTCAAAATAATCTGGATTACCCTTTGTTTAAAAAAATTACAGCCACTGAAATATTTTTGAGATATTCAATTATTTTGACATTCCAATAAGTTTAAAATTATCAGTATTTAGGCAGCTAGGTGGCACAGTGCATAGAGTACCAGTCTTGGAGTCAGGAGGACCTGAGTACAAATCTAACCTTACTAGTTTTCTTTCTTTCTTTTTTTCTTTCTTTTCTTTCCTTCTTTCTTTCTTTCTTTTTTCTCTTCTCTTCTCTCTCTCTTTCTCTTTCTTACTAGCTGTGTGACCCTGTGCAAGTCTTTTAACCCTGTTGGCCTCAGTTTCCTCATCTGTAAAATGAGCTGGAAAAGGAAATGCCCAGGGTCACACAGCAAACCTTTAAGTGCTATACAACATTAGCTATCATTATTATTTTGGCCATTTCTCTTGGCCATCTAAAAGTTGCTCCTTTGATTTTATGCATTGGCACAATAGAGCTGTATTATTTCCTTTTCAGGATTGGGTTAGTCCCACAAAGAAGGCTGACTTCTCATATTTCCAGGAACAATTTTCATGGATGCTGATCTCTTTCACCTTGGCCTAGAAAAATGGAAAAAGGCTTCTGGACCTCTCCCTCTCAGCTGTCTGACCCTGCCTAAAGAGGAAAGAAAGTTGGGAGTATAAGAGAGGAGTACAGGAAAATGTAATATCTTATTCCTTGACATTTTCAGAAAATCCCACTTTAGATAAACCTGACTTACAAATAGCTAGACTTTTAAAAAGAGGAATTGGGATGAGTATTGATATTAGGACTGATTCTTAAGTTCATAAAATCATCCATTCTAGGTTTCTTTAGGTGCCAATTGTGCATTTAGAATATAGTTCATATGCAAAAAAGCCAAATTATAAATGGAGAAACCCAAGAAACACCTCTTCTTTGTTAAAAGAGCAGCATTGTGATATTGTTGTCAGGAAAGAACAAAGTTCAAATTCTTCTCTGACACTTATGAGTGAGTGATCATGAGCAAGTCACTAAATTTCCATGAATATCAGTTTTCTTTTCTATAAAATGAGGATAACCATATCACATGGTTATAAGAAGAATCAAATGAGAAAAGGTCTAAGGGCAGCTAGGTGGCACAGTGCATAAAGCACTGACTCTGGAGTCAGGAGGATGTGAGTTCAAATCAGACCTCAGACTTGATCACTTGATACTAGCTGTGTGACCCTGGGCAAGTCACTTAACCCCAACTGCCTCACCAAAAAAAAAAAAAAAGTTTGTAAAGCATTTTGCTAATCTTTGGAGGCCCTTGAAATGTCAGCTATCATCCCATTAAATACATCTATGTGAATTTTGTGTTCTCAACATTTCCTGAGTGAATCACTTATTTTTTAAAGTAATTGGTGTGGATCAATGTGCATGTTTGAAATTCAAGTTTAAGCTTTAGCTGTTTTCCCTTGGTGAATCCACCAATCAACAATCATTTATTAAGTACTTGTGTGCCAAGCATTGTGCTAAGTACTGGGCAAGAACACAAATACAGTCCCTCCCCTCAAGGAGTTCATATACCAATGTGGAAACAACATGCGATTAAATAGATGCGTACATCGGGGGTGTTCTAGAGTCAATTGTTAAATTTCCAGTAATGGCATTTACACCCCAGAAACTAGCAAAGACTACAAAATCAGGGCTTGATTTATTGTTTTTGTTGATTGTCTAAACTTTAAAAAGTGATGTAGAAAATGTTAATAATGCAGATTAAACTTAAAAGTATATCACATGTACATTTTTTTTTCAGAGAGCTGGCTGTTAAACACATACAGTACACATGTACTGATAACTGTAGAGCAGAAAACTATACAAGATAACTATAGAGTTAACTATACATGTACATGATAACTAGAGAGTAGAAAAAAAAGGTAACCTTAGTAGAAAAAGCTCATAGTTGGTATTTGAAAGGAAGGAAAATAACTATAAAGCAGCTAAGATCAATCAATAAAAAAAGTGTTCTGGGGGGCAGCTAGGTGGCGCAGTGGATAGAGCACTGGCCCTGGAATCAGAAGGACTTGAGTTCAAATGTGGCCTCAGACACATAACACTTACTAGCTGTGTGACTCTGGGCAAGTCATTTAACCCTGACTGCCTTGAAAAAAAAATCATTATAAGAATATAGTATTTTTTTTTAATTTATTTGTTTGTTTTTTTGTTTTTTGGTAAGTTTCTCATTGATTCAATCAGTGAAACTTTATACTTAATGAAAATTTATTTTGTTTGTGGAGTACATATCTGTATGGTATACTTTGGTTCTTGCTGTAAAAAATGATCTTGAATTCACTGAGATCTTGAAATTATAAGCTACACTGCAAAATGAAGAAAACTGAGTTCTATTAAGTTGATTTCAGGACTTCTGTCCAAGATGGACCTTAATGGGAGGCAAATCACCCAGCTCCAGTATATCTACTTCAGCAAAAAGTTGAAATTCACAACAGATAGAATAATGATCAAGAAATTCAATGACAAATTACAATATCTTACTTCTTCCACCCCAAAACTATTAGCCAGGAGCCCCCAGGTTATAGGAAAAAGAAGCAGGATACTTTAAAAGTAACTTGTAGAATTTAAAGTTTTGTTTTTTTTTTCAAATCTGCAATATGAAATGAAGATTCAGTTTCATATATAATCCTCTTTTGCATTCTTCCTAGTTTAAGGAAACAATTTGGGGAGGACATTATGTTCAACATCAAAAAAAATTTAAAAATTGAATTCAGCAAAATTGTAGTAAGAACCTACTACTCACAAAACAATACACTAGATAACAAAGGAAATAAAAATTTATAACCTAGTAGGGAGTATAAGCTGCGTTCATGAATAAATATAATAACAACTCCCATTTACATAGCACTTTAAAGTTTGTTAAGTGCTTTACATCTGTCATCTCATTTGCTGCAAAGTACAATGTGAAAGTTCTGAACACATGGCCTGTGGTTTCCTACCTCCATGCTTTTGCATATGCTGTTCCCTCAGCCTAGAATACCCTTCTGCCCAGGAAATTTTTCTTAATTCTTCCAGCTAGAAGCATTCTTTCTTCTCTGAATTTGCATATACTTTGTACTGCTCTTATTGTATCTTAATATTTACTTTATATTATTATCATTTGTGTATGTGACTGATTCCTCTAATAAATTGCAAATTCTATGAGCTGCTTTGCACATGGTATCTGTTGAATGAATGAGTGTGCACAAATGTTATAAAAGTTCAAAGAATGGTAGAATACAATTAAATTCAACAAACTTTTTTTTTAAAGACCACAATTACTGGGGTATGAACTCAATATTTGAAAAAAAAAACTTCTGGGAAAACTGGAAAGACGTCTCCTAGAAATTAGGTACAGACCAACATCTCATAACATATACCAAGTTAAACTCCAAATAGATACATGGTTTAGATATAAAAGGTGGCATGATAAGCAAATGAGAAAAGCAAGGAAGAAATTACCTTTCCAAACTATGTATAGAGGAAGCGTCTGTGACCAGATAAGGGACAGAAGAAGTCATAGAAGATAAAATGGACAATTTTCTTTACATAAAATTAAATTTTAAAGTTTTTGCACAAACAAAGCCAATGTAGTTACAATTAGAAGGAAAAGAGGTAACTGGGAAAGCATCTTTGCAAAAATTTAAAGGTTTCATATCTAAAATACACAAGAGAAACCTCACCTACTGGGGAATAGCTAAACAAATTATGATATGTGACTGTAATGTATTGTGGCATAAGAAATGACCAAATAGACGCTGCAAGGGCCTTTATAAACTGATGCAAAGTAACAGAACTAGGATAATATTATAAAGAAAAATGACTTTGAAAGACTTCAGAATTCTGATCAATGCAATAATAAACCATGATTCCAAAAGACCTGAAGATGAAGAATGCTGCCCATTTCCTGACAGAGAGATGATATACTTAAAACGCAGGATGAGATATTTATTTTTGGAAGTGGTTTGTTTTGCTGAATCATGCAAGTTTGTCAGGAGGGTTTTTTTCCCCTTCCTTATTTATTGTTTGATTGGGGAGGGGAGGGAGATGTGGAGAGAGGGAATACGTGTTTGCAAAATAAATAAGTGACTTTATTAAAAAGTGACTGTTTTGTGCAAGGCACTGTTCTAGATGCTAATTATTTCCTCTCTGCCTTCTCCACTATGTCCTAGGAAGCTCATTATTGGGAAAACCCCATCAGCAGGAAAACCTCTTTAGACCTAGTACTCTACCTCATCCTCACCACTCCCTGTCCCTCTGGAGGATGGAGAGATGAATTCTGAAAGCCCCACTTAAAGTGGGGGCTCACCTCAGAATGTCTCATTTCTTACTTGGCTGCTCTATTTTGGAATTTCTCAGACTTTCCCACCATGCCTCCCCCAACCCCTGCTTTTCAGCTTCCTTTTGTGAGTTGTTTTTCCATTGTTTTCAGTCATGTCTGACTTTTCATGACCCCATTTGGGGTTTTCTTGGCAAAGATACTGGGCTGGTTTGCCATTTCCTTCTCCAGTTCATTTTACAGATGAGGAAACAGGCAAACAGGGTTAAGTGACTTGACCAGGGTCACACTGCTAGTAAGTCTGAGACCATATTTGAACTCTGGTCTTCCTGACTTCCCAGTTCTCTATCCACTGCACTGCCTAGCTATGTTACCTTCCCTTGTTTGACTGTAAACTCCTTGAGGACAGGTACTGTTTCTTTTTTCTCATTTGCATCCCCAGCACTTAGCACATAGTAGTGGTTTAATAAATGTTTACTGACTGACTTACTTTAATAGGTAGGGATCATTTCCTGGAGGGAGGACAATGAGAAAACCAATATAGATTTTTTTTTTTTACTTAATGATCTAATGCAAACTGAATTCCAATTTTTGTTCTTTTTTTCTAGATATAAATAAGTTACAGGCAACAATATCAATCCACAGGTCACTTTAAACTCCACCAAACTACCTGGTCCCTCCAACTCTGGTCTGTGATGAAACTCTAGGGTTCCATTTGAGTAATTAAGAGGTTTAATCTGGAAGAAAGAATGGAGGTCAGGGGAATTAGAAATATCAATAATAACAGAAGCATGTCCACTGAGCCATCTGCTCTGTCCCTGCCAGGCCTCTCATGCTATCCAAGGATTTATAGACAGGGCTCCAATCCTATGAAGAAAGATGCCACAAAATAAAAAAAAACCTTGAAAAACACTTTTTAAGAGATTATAACTTTGTCTTATCTTTCATAGGTTGGAGAGACTAAATGAAGAGCTTTAGATGAAGACTTCCATAGAATGAATGTATACAACTAGGATAAAACAAAGCAATCACTGATGTATGCATATGTATATATAAGAAATGACATATATATATACATACGCACATATATATCATATATGTGTATTATAGAATTGGAAGGCTTACACAGTACTTTACATGCATTATCATTTGAGCTTCATATCTACCCTATGAGTACTTGGCTCTGAATATTATCATCCCCATTTTACAGAACAGAAAATAGACTCAGAGCAGTTAAGTTACTTAACCATGGTCACACAGTTAAGTAAGATTTGAACCTTATTTTACTATTAGTACACTATTCGCTATGCCAACATGCCTGAACACACACACACACACACACACCCTCCATAGGACCTGAGAGTTAAAGTCTGAAGGAACTTTACAAGTCATCTAATCCGACTGCCCTATTTTACAAATGAGGAAACTGAGGCCAAGTGTCTTGTCCAAGGTCACACTGGTAATAAGTAGCAGAGCTGGAATTAGACCCCAGGTCTTCTGATTTCCAAATACAGTGCTCTAGCTCTGAATCACCCAGAGTGCCTCCCATACCATACTCATTCCAAACCAGACAGTAATTTATTTCAACTCAGTAAACATTGATTAAGCTCATATTGTGTGCCAGGCATTGTTCCTGGTCACCAATACAGAAGTAGGTGACTATTCAGTTAATCACAACACTCTTCAAGTCCTTTCATTTCACATGTAAATATAAGAAATGCTGTAACCCCATTGGCTCTTGTAGCCAGAGTTCTAAGAGAAATAAATTAAATACATCATTAACATCTCCATTCTGTTTACGATGCTCTTTGGCGATTTAGTATAGGAGTGTTTCCGGCATTAACCTGGGGCCTGCAGTCATCCAGAGGTGAAAATACTTTTCCTTTTAATGGGCCCACTTCAGTTAATGGCTTAAAAAAAAAATCTTTGGAACCATGTTTGGAACCTAAGTGCTCCCATCCTTCTCGAGAGGTTGTATTTTATTACTCTTTTAAAATAAGCTTCCTTCACTCATTCGTTAGTTTAATTCACTTCTTTCTAGCAAAGCTACCATGCTATTTCTGACCTTACATACTTGAAGCTTCCCATCTTTTACGCCCTGAATCCATGAACTTCAATTGTTTTCCTCAAGAAAGAGAAATACTAGAAGAGAGAGAATAAGTATCAGGAACCTAGTGGACAATCCCACTTTTAAAAAAAATCAGTGCTAAGTTAAAGGTGTACATCCTTTTACTATTTATTAAATTAAATCTGGAGAAAAAGTTTATAGCTAATGTAGCATATTTAGGAAAAATCGGTTTTAGCTTCTGTGAAGATAATTTGGCCACAACTGCTAACCAGACATGGGTCATCTTAATCTGTCTTAATTAGGAAATTAAAAAAACAAACTATATTTTTATTCAGAATAATAAGAGTGCCAGAATGATTCCAAAGTAATTGAAATAAGAAATTGTATTAAACCGATCTATTCTTAGATGAGTATCATCTCTTATGGTAAGAGTTAATATACTTTTCAGAAGAGGTATGTGCCAGGAAATTGAAGTTTAATTTTACATTAAGAGAACAGCGTTTATCATACAGATTTCATCCAGTCGGTAACTTTTTGATTCAGCACAACGGTTACATCAAGTGGCTGTAAATACCTATGGGGTGGGATCTTCCAGGAAGCACCCTAACTCACTTCCATTTCTACTTTGGGGGCCTAAAAGTCTCTGGCCCTTCCTCTAGCACTTTCCAGGGTACTTTTTTGGGAGGCAATCGGGGTTAAGTGACTTGCCTCGGGTCATAGAGCTAGCAAATGTCTGAGGCCAAATTTGAACTCAGGTCATCCTGACTTGAGGGCAAGTGCTCTAGCCACTGTGCCGAACAGCTGCCCCTCCAGGGTACTTATGATCTAAAACCATTCTAGAGATACATAGTACCTGGGATATCATAAACAATAAATGTTTCTATTTCTTTCTTTATTTCTTTCCTTCCTTTCATCCATCCATCTATCTATCTATCTATCTATCTATCTATCTATCTATCTATCTATCTATCTATCTATCTAT